ACTAACATGCCAGGAGATGATTGACATCTTTCACAGCTCTGATATACTTGTAAGAGGCAAAACGCTGGTGGCAGAGCAGGTTTAACAATTTCATTAGTGGTCATAGAAGGAAGTCTCGCTACTGTGAACCTTGTATACTTGTGGGGCAACGGTAGAGGAGTTGTTCGAGGGATGTCGAATCTTCTTGGTGGTTGTTTGTTTTCTTTTCTGCTTTGCCAGTAAAGGAGAACAGTTAGAGGAGGCTTGCAGCGAATGTCCGCTCGTCTTTCAGTAGCGGGTTGTCCTTGATTAAGGCATTCGACCTCCGATTACTCTGCAGGAGCCTGTGGGTGCAGTGAGCAGGTGTGAATGATTCTAACCAGACAAATTTGGACCAAAACATTTTGCCAAAGGGAGTCGTGCCAAGTCAACGTAGCCTTCAAAATAAAGCTAAAATGAAAATTCGCCCACTGAGAGGAAGGATTGTCCTAATTTGGGAAATGTAGTTTGATTTTGCTCCCATCCGCCTAAAACATGTTCTTGAAATACAAATTTAATCTAAAAGGTCAAATAGCATTACATGTTAATGTTGGCTTGTAAACTGTAGCATGCAGGCATGTGGGAGTATCCAGGACAAGCCTGAAGGTGTGACTGTACCTGAGACCAGGCACCAAAACATGTTTAACATTAGCACAGCCATTTGATCTCCTACTGTATTTAAGCTACTTTTGACTTCTCCCTTATTCTCAAGGAGTCACTACAGCAGGTAGTGCTGCATATTTAATTCTCTGCTAATGCAGCCCTAAATGGATTCATGTGTCCTCCTGGGATCGAACACGTGATCTTTCATTTGTTAGATGCACTAGTGCAAAACTATAATTTGTAGGTTTTTTAATCACAACTCCCACTGGAATACACTCAGACAGGTCACTGTCAGGACACCCCCACTTCAAAAATAAACTCGTACAACAAACACAAATCAAATACAAACACATTTTCTTTAAATGAAACTTTACCAACACCCTCATTCAGTATAAAGGGAGAATTTATGCCTTGATTCAGCCATGAATCCAGCTCAGCTGATTCATCACTGAGCCCAACCGTCACTGGCATCTGATAGTGTGGCACTGCATATGCTTCCCTTAATGTCGCTGTTTTTCAATCTGTTATTTAGAGTGCGTGAACATGAAGTAGAGTGCGTCTACAACAAGTCAATACAGCTAATTATCAATCTATTACCAATCAATAACAAAATGATAGCTTTTAAAGCAAATAAAACATAAAGATCCAAATAACCAAATAGCTCGTCTTTGGCATCCATTAAATTGTCACATTTCTTTTTAAGCCATGTGTTTCTTTTGAGAATCACTTGTACTTTGTTGTTGTACTTTACTCTGTGTAGAACTGAAAAATACATGAGTCTGGCAAAAAGGGGGGGAGCTGTGATTTTACACTGTAAAAAGTAGCTTCCCATTCTTAGCTGTGTCCCAATTCCTAGGACGCATCCTTCCAAGGACGCGTCCTTCGTGGGCCTTTGATGAGCAAATAGGTTGGAAGTGCAAAGCTGTGAAATGGGACGGTCTAGCCTTCAGATTTGCGTCACCAGCTGTGTCGGTGGACTTTAATAAACTCAGCCGTCTGCTCCTTGCTCCGTAATATATAACAGGACATTGGAGTAAATTCTCGACCATCTCGCACTTCTGTTTGATCAGTTTTCTGTTTGACGTTTATTCAGCTGTGC